TTTAATGGTTGTCTGTTTAATGGTTGTCTCTCGAGTGCACCTTTGCTAGAGACAATCGTTAATCAAATTGGATAGACGTGGCAAAATTCCTTTTTTGTTAGTCTTTATTAGCCATGATACAATGTATATCTAACATAGTATTTGCATGGCAAGATAGCTAAACATATGCAAATACATCACTTCCGTTGCATTAAAATATCGGCGAAAAGCAGGGAAATAGAAAAAAACCGGGAATACAGGATTAAACATAAACATCCATGACAAGAACGGATTTTGCGTTAAAAAGTAAAGTGAAATAGTAAATAAGCCGGTAGCGGAACTAAACCTTAACGTGCTTCGCAATCGCAAGAGGAGCAAAAATTAAGAAGATTAAAAGGTCGAAAAGCCGCTGAAAAGAGTACACCTAGCGAAGCCGGAGAAGCATTTGCGATTGTAATGTCCATTAAAATTGTAATCCCCCGACAGTGGCACGAATAGCGGTCCTCTTATATTTCACGTAAAAGTCGAAACATTCCGAGATTCGAAGAGAGAGAGACAGAGAGAGTCAGAGCGAATGATCTCTCGTAGTTGTTCCAGTCATTGAAACATTTTCTCACATCGAATATAAAATGTCTACAATTCGTAGCAAAGTATAATTTCATCTATAAAATAGAAATATAATCTGCATATATAAAATATTTTGAAAACTTATATTACGCATATTTCCTATCTCACTCATTAATGCAATATACGTGGATATTTAGTATCTTATAAAAAATTCTACGTGCTACAAAAACCACTGTATCTTTTATTTGGAGAAAACTCAGCAAAAGTGAATAATTATCTGTAATTCTTTAAATAACGATAAATTTTCTCACAAAATCAATGATTTATTAAAACATTTTTCAAGAATATCATGTTTCTTATTAAAGTGCAATTATTGTTTAAAAATACTCTTTGTCTGCTGTCGTTATAAGGTAAATTTATTGGATTTATGTGCGCAGTGTTTCTACAGAATTATTTAAATCATTATATGAAGAAATATCTCGTTGTTTTCCATTTACGTGAAAATTATATATGTCGGAGGATTACAATTTATGTAAAATTTATACTTTCAGCCATAATTCTTTTATCTCGCGATACAGAGCTAAAGATCTTTATTTAATGATTCAACATCGGATAGAACATGACAAACCTTTTATTACTTTTGACCGAAAGACGTGTTACATCGCGCGGCGATCTACGAGAAATAATGATTATACCGCCGTGTGTTACAGAAGCGACAACATTATATCGTTCATTCCCCGAATCGTGGTGAACGATCTTTCGTAATAATTCGAGACGGCGGGACATTTTCTCACGGGACGAGCGCGTACGTACCGAGTCACGAAATGATGATCTCCACCAAATGAGTCGCCGATGATACTGACTGTCATGCGACGCGCGTACGAAGCCATCCTCGTTCAACCCGCTCGTTAACAAGCTCCATTGCCACTTTATTATCGCGGCTGGATCGCCCAAGAATAGCCGCAAATCATGTGGAACTGGTTATCCGGTGCGTCATACGCGTTTCTACGTTCGTATACCTCAGCGGCATTACCCTACCAGAGTACTTAGACTGGTTCACCTATATAAAATACGATGTGAAAACTGTTCACGAGGCAAATTCAGAGAGCAGGTAGATTTCTCCTAAAACTCACTATAAGCCCTGGTTACTATTCAGCATTGCATAATTAAAGTGTATCATTATACCAAGAGGCTGCCGCCGCTCCAGTTCGGAAAGCAACGTTACGAAAATTTCGGAACTGTTATCTGATATAATCGTGGGAACTCGTGAGAAATTTCAGATCCAACATGATTTTCACCCTGTGACCTCGTGTCGGCGGCAGAATCTTGAGTGCAGCATTTAAAATGGAATTTTATGGAAGTTTGGAAACATAAATACATATCGCAATCATTAAATTGCTAAAAATACACTGTCAAATTTCTGTTTTCCAAATCTATGCTCGAATACATCTAAAAGTTATCATTTACAATTTGAATGACTGATTCATAGATTGCATGAATAGTAAACTGAAGTAAGTTGTTCAAAAAAAAAAAATAATAAAAATCAAACGTTTCTCAAGCTCAGAATCATCATTGTCTGATATCGATTATATAAATCAACTTTTCCTTAATCCCGTTCGGCCATCGGCTTTCCGATGACCTCGCATTAATCTCCCGGTCGATATCCTTTAAAGCGGGAAGATCAATGCCCACGCTCATCCCTAAATCATGCCTTATGACAGAAACAGATGTACACTAGCCCGCCCTGTCGCGAATAGTCTCCGCAATAAGGCGCCGTACAAGCCGCGATTATACCTGGATCGGCTCCTCCGGTAGCCTCCTCCCCCTCCCCCCTCTCTCTCGTACAGCTCCCTGACCGCTTCGGTTCTACGAGAGCGCCGGCATCGTCGTAGCTGCAGGCTCTCCTCGTAGCGCGTCGCACCGATGCACAAGTCGGTTGCGAAGCCGGGCAACCCCCGAGAGAAGAATACTCGCGGCGCGTATATGTAAAGGCGATGGTATATCTGTATCAATTGTATGCATATGCGGAGCCCTCCGTCGACTCCTCTTCCGATTTTCCTCCCCGCTTACTTCCCGCACTTTCTTCGGCTGCTCCCGCAGTCTATAGGTACGTGTCTACGTATATTTGTCGCGCTTAACCATTATATGGTTTATCGTTATTGTTCGTCACCGACGGGAGGACCTAAGGTCCTTGGAACACGACATAGAGAGAGAGA